ATGAAGTACTACATTTTAAAATATTTATCCTTCTATAAATTTAGCTAATGGAAAATTAAATTCTGACTGAAGATGCTATTACATTTTTTATGCTTTCAAAACCTTAATTTTTAGTGTATATCACTAGTAAGATCCTCAATAAGAGAAAATAATTTGAATAAAATTATAGTGGTTTTCATTGTTTATTCATAAAATAGAAGATCTTGAAGTCTACAACATAAAAAAAAACCCTCCATCTGCAGAAGCTCACATTTTATATTTTGGGTATTTTTATTCTTCATTCTAATTTTTCATTCTTTAATGAAAATGTTTCCAATTAAATCAAATCTGTACCTATTCTATTTTAGGATAATCTGACCAAAAAAATCAAATATTACTCTCTACTACTTGCCCAAAGAGAACTGGAAAATACAATAAATTATATCTCTGTAGTCACTAGTACTTTGACAAGAATGAATGCTCCACATAGGCATGTTAAAAACGTAAACTATTAGAATATCAGGATTTTACCGGGAGTAAGATTTCAGATCTGGAAGACACGCAACTTCCATATGACAAAATCTCCTGTCTCTAATTTCATACAAAATCCTATGTATGACCACAGAACACGTAACACAAATGGATAGGGGAAAAAAAAAATATTTTTTATACTACAAAGTGTTATGTGCAAAATATTTTGGAATATGCCTTATTTGCTTTTAAAAAAGATTAGTGAAAAAAAAGAGGTCAGCTTCCAGTGATGAGAGCTCTAATCCAGACAACAAAGAAGTCAATGGGAATCTTCTCATTGTTTGTAGTGAGATTTAAATTTGACACCGTATTAGAAAAAGGGAATTACGCTCAGAGCAAAATACCTCTGTACATATGTGTGTGTGCGCACACGCGCGCAAGTGTGTGTGCATGTGTGTGCGTGTGTGTTTGTGGGTGGGTGATGGATGGGGAATGTGTGTGTATATATGAATACACAATCATACATATATAAACACACATAATTATCATTGTTAAGTACATTAGGGTTAGCAAGCAGTACAAGTGACATGACTCTGCCTTCCAGACAAGGCTAGTTTACTGTTACTGGGGTTTTGTTTTATTATACTACCCGATACACTTCCATAAATATTGCTGACAAAGTTAATATTCAAGAAAGGAACATTTTTCTTACTCCGATCGAAGATGCAATAATCAAATCATAAAACACAAAACCAATAGCCAATCAATGTGAATAAGTCTGCCCATAGGCTTAATTCAAGCAAGCCATTCACTGCGCTATGTGATGGATCTGTCAAATCCAATACAGCATTACAGACATACTAGCAACATCAAGTGAACATGCAATGACAAAATGACAATACGCCCCACTGCCATGCTTTGACTTCTTCTACCTCATAAATATAAAACGTGATGACTTTGCTAGTTTCTCTTACTTCAGACTTGGACAGAAATCTAACAACTATATTTTTGTTTATATTTTTTAAAATATTACTTGAAAGCTGAATAAAGCTGTACAAACATTTTATTGACATCTGATTTAGTGTCTTTTGCACATCCTTACAAATATTTTTTCCAAACACTCTCAGTTTAAAGAATTTGGCAGGCAAAGCTCCAGAATGGTGAAGATCTTACATAGACCAGTTTATCAGTTAGACCCTTTTATCAGTTATAGGAATTGGAAAATTTATCAGAAATATTTTAAATATTGGAAAGTTAAACATTATTTTTTTGATCCACTTCTGCAAAGAGCTTCAAATCTTTAAGTGCAGATTCGTATGATGATAGATCACACAGTATAAAAATCCAATTCTAAATTTTTTTGAAGTCGCATTCAGTGATTATATTGCTTAATAAATAAAACAAAATGTCCCTGTTTGTTTGTTTTGTTGTTTTTGTTTTACAAGTCTAAGAAATGACTGGAGAAATCTGCAAGGTCTACTTCCATTGTGAAATTGTTTTTAGGAGTACATGATTTGTCTTAACAAATACTTAGGGCTCTGCGTTGATTAGTTTCATGAGATTGCCTTGCTACCTGATTCTCCCCTATATATCTGTTCTTCGCCTATTTCCAGCAATATTTCCACCTGTGACAAACAAGGATACCATTGCATTTGTTCATAATAGAGCCCTCTTACAGTGATCATTATCCATCGACTTGATGTATGGATTCTGGAGTCCCAAATCTTTCTGTTAAACTTTATTTTTAATTTACCAAAATGTGTCTCTAATCTAAAGATTTCCTCTTTCCATCTCCTGACTTAAGAAGCATGTGAAATATGGAACATTGCTATTCATCATATATATGAGCTGTGATCAAAAAAATAAAGCTTTTTTATTTTTTAAATTAACATGAAGTAGTATTTCTGTGATACGTCACTGCTTCAATAGTACATACTCACTGGTCCTCTCTTCATTTTTCTGGGCATTGTTTACACATAAACAGTAAATATATTTCATGTGTAATTAAATTAAATAGGGGCTCAAATCAACACTAAATAAGAGCAGTGTATAAGGAGATACGGAATCTTCAATATTGTCAGAGGACAGCAGATGATTATTACATTGAGAAGAAAAGATACAAGCAGTTGTACTGAACTATATTTCAGTATTTTCAATATTAATTATTCACAAAAGTTGCTAAATTAAATTCATTAAAAAATGAATGAAAAGTTAATTAAATTAAGCAAACTGTAGTTGTGAGTAATCAGAGGTATCCATGTTTGCACATAGTTTCCCATATGCAAAGAAATGTTTGAGCAGATTGTTATTTGTTTTGTTCTCTATGCTAGTTTTAGGATTCTCCCATAAAGAAATTCAGTTACACTATTTGTAATTAAGACAAGAAACCATATTCATTTGGGGGAAGCAGATCGAAGATGAGGGTTAACCACATTTAAAAAGAGAAGCTAAATTAAAAAAAAAATCATTTAAAAAGAGAAGCTAAATTAAAAAAATAATCCAAAAGATATAAAATTCATTTAAGACATCTAAAATTATGCAAGCAAAGACAGGTTATTACAATTCTAATTATACACAAAGTGTATCTGAAAATTAGACATTTTTTCAAAAAAATAATTAAGGGTTGTAACAACTGCATTACTACTGATGCCATCTCAAGCTTCCTTTACAGCATTTAAGAGCACTATCTTCTTAGACAAATCCTTTTTTTTTTTTGTCAGCATAACTCTTAGTGATGCTGACTGTCTACCCATAGCAGAACATGTGACCAACTGATGTTTTCTCTTACAGCATTTGATTTGTTTTATGAGAAGGTACATTAATTCATAATTAAAGCATTTAAAAGTCATCTTGATATTGTTCAGTTTCTCTATGTAACGTATAGGTTTTCAGAAATTCATTTATTCATAGGAATAAACACCCTATAAAATGATCCAGGGACACCTGAACGATATCTGGCAAAAAATGACTAACCACAGAAGGTTATTTATAATTTTGTCCTTTCAGTTTAGTAAGTTTTTAGAAGCAGGAATTGTTTTGCATTATAAGCTCACAGAAAAATACTAGAGCTGCGACATGCTAACACACCTTTGTGGAAATGAAATGAAACTACTGAGCGGCACTTCACCTTTGTAGGCTACCCTAAGTAGAAATAGTACATCGCGAACAGAGTGCATACAGCACGTATCTAGTTGATATTACTGATCCAAAATTAATAGAAAGTAACTTGCTTACCTGTCTGACACAGCATGCCTCAGCCACACATGCAAATTATTTTACTCACATAACTTCAAAAAATATATCTTCATTACCCAGAATAAGCATTTGAAAGGCAAATATGCATGCATAGCATTGTAACATTCATACCATGGTACTTTGTTCTAAAAATACAGAATCCATGAACAGCACTTCAATCTAAGAAATAGTTCACTGAAATTTCTTAATCTGTTGATTTCTTTAAGTAACAGAAACATTTAAGACAATGTCTAATTTAGCATCTAAAGAAATTTTTCAATACATATTCAAGACTTAAGAAATTATCTCCATGATTCCAAGGGAAAATTTTCTTTTATCAGGAATTGAGAAGTGTGACCTTACTTCTCCCTGCTATTGTGAAGCAAAATACATGCATGTATCTGTCTTTCACAATATACATCCTCCCTTTACGACTGTAGACTCTTCAACTTTTGAAAAGCATTAAAGATATAGATTTTGTTAAGGGTACAGCTGATGAAGAAAACACAGGATATTCTTTCTTTTTGTTACAAAATCATGTCCACACACCGCAAAGACTTAATTTTATGCAATTTGACAAAATCCTATTCCTACTGAAGTCAATAGCAATTTAGACATTGACTTCAAAGGGATCCCAATTTTCAACTTGCAAGAAGACAAGTTAGTTTATGTGACGCTGCTTTTAGTTTATAGAAGTTAAGTCTTTGCATGTTTCTCTTATGCAGATTTTAATAATCTTTTATTCCTGGTATTATTTCCATCAAATGTGGTTTACATTTTGAGGATAAAAATACAGAGCAAAAGAAGAATAACTGAATTTTTTTCAGTATTTCAAAAAGTCAAATGCCTGGAAAGAAAGCAAATGGAAAAAATATTGTTTTGCCTTGGATAGTTCAAGCTTAGACACAGTTCATTCTCAATTTCCACTGACTAAAAGCATGTCAATGAGAATTGAGGGCACTCAATAGGTTCAGGTTCTAAATCAACTGAAATAATACTCCTAAGACGAATAATGATCTTTAGTAGCAGACCATCATGAAGCTGTACATATATTTATCTGCATTGTACAAGGGTCACAGACATTAACTGGATGATCTACAGCTTGGGAATGTGCACATCTCATGCCTGATTCTCAATTAAGGCCTAAAATCACTCAATTTATGGCTATTGATGGATTATAATAAAACAGCCTGCTTCAGATATCACGATTATCTGCAGAGCAACAAGACAGTTATGAGACTTCAACAAGGCCAATTTATAGAATTATCTTCAACTTCCACTGGTCAAATATTCATTAGCAGTAAATGAGGTCTTACCTGTCACTGTAGGCAGCTGCAGTGGCAGTGGCAGGCTGGGCATACCGGTAGGCAGCATAACCACCCTGAAACACAAACTCACGCTCTAACTGGATTGCTACAGCACCTTAAACAACATTTTGCAAAATTTAGCAACAACTGAAAGAGTACTGTCATGCTGTAAGTTCAGTTAAGGGGTTAAATAGGAAATATTTCAGTGAATCGTTAAGCACCACAAACTTGTACTTGTTAAGATTTGTCCCAGAGATCAGGAGAAAGCAATGAACTGTATTCATCAACGTAAGTTTTTTTACAAGACAATACTGTATTCGTCCACAAGTTTTCAAGTAGCAGTTGTTCCTATGAATGAGTTGTATGCACTTCAACAAAGCGATGCTGAACTTAAAAGAAAAACTCAGCTAATAATCAATTCATTTTTGTACAAAATATGATTTATCATGTCTGGTTGATTAAACCTATGAATTTGTGCACTCAATTAACACTTAATGTTACATAGGTTTCCAATTTATACGTAAAATTATAATGAAGAAGCAAAATTCTCTTCTTCCATGAATTAACATTCAGTTGTATGTAACAGTAATTGCAGCTGTTCAATTAAGCAAACAGGACAAACAAACACACATTTGAAAGGAATTGTGTGCAGTGATGCATTGATTATCAAACTGTGAAAACAGCAGAGCTTCCTGTTCAATGGACCACGGTGTTATATCAACCATTTCAAAATGATCGCAGCATGCCAATTAACAAACAGAGGCCAGTCTCCACAGATAACACAAACACGATTTACATCCCAATTAGAATTCACCACCCCATAATCCTCTGGGACAGGGGAGTTTTGTATTTCCTTTCCCACCTTCCCCCACCTTAACAAAGAGTTGAATAAGAAAGTATCAGATCACTCAGCTTTGAATAAAATTCACTCTTTTGCTAAAGTGTTTGCTTTAATGGATTGATTTTTTTCAGGGTTTGGGGTTTTTTTGGAAGGCTGCATTCACACAAGATACTGTGCTGAAGCATGAAGAATAGGCTACGATGTGTCAACCTTTCCTGTAGCAGTAGTACATTTTTACTGCAGGAACTTTTGTGGGTTTTCTATTTTGATTTTACAAATAAAAATTCACTCTTTTCAGAAAAGCAATTTCAACTACTTCTACAAGCTATTTCCCCTTCTACTGCTTTGCTTGGTGGAATCGCTTTCATCCCTAACAGGTGTAAACCTTTTTTGGTTTGAAGATTTGAAACAGATTGGGTTTGGAAATCAATCATCCAGCTGCTAGCACCACATCACCCTAAGAATAAACATATATTTTACATATACTGACAGCTCATTAGAAACTCCAGGCTTTGAATTGTCAACCTACTTGAGGAATATTCTTTCTGACTTTTTCAAGTGCTCACACAGAGAATAGTACATTTACCTCCCCGCTCCTGGTCAGCTCCCTGTCAGCAGCAATTGTGTCACACAACCACCGGAATAAGGCAGGTGCTTTCATAATACCATATATGCTGTCTCTTTTGCAGCAAGCTGCTTCTCTGTGCAAGCACAGAAGCGTTGAGATGAAATACTTTCTCATTTCAAATCATTTGATTTTTATAAACCAATAGAAGGCTATTACTGTCAAAAATGTATAATAGGCACATATTGCTTGCAGCTATGTGCATACAGGCAATCAGATGTCAAATAATGTCACCAAGTGCAAACTGAGCCAGTAAACAGTGAGGCTGAGAGATGATAATGCAAGCTGCACACTTGGTCTGGCTTCTGCTACAAGGAGAAAGGTGAGAGATTATATGAATTTATCTGTTCTCCCCTCCTGGCTTTTGAGAGCTAAATATAGCACCTTTTTTTTTTTTCTTTTTTTTCTTTTTTTCCCTGAGCGCTGCTATGAGGAGGTACAAATGGTGAAAGTATAAAAAAAGATACTAAACTTGTTTTCATGATCCAGTCCTGAAAATGCGTGGCAGACTGCAAGCCATTCTGCAGTATGTTCGCCACATGACTCCTTTGCTTGTCCTGCAGTCCATTTCTAAACCGCCTTATTTAAACATGAGAGCCACTTCATTTCAATCCAGCTATGCACATAATGACTCCCACCGCGGTACAGAATTGAGGATGGGCCACCATGAGAAGTATCAATGTTTCGATGTTCTTGGTCAGACAAAAATGAGACAGGCTGTTCACATACTGGCTGGCCTTAACTCTGCAGATGGTAGGCTCTGTGAGGATTGTTTTTCTTTCTTTTATTTAACTATCACTAAAAATTGGTCCGTCTGTGAAGACGGACCCTTTCTTGCTCACTAAATATGAGAGTTATGCTCCTTTTATGCTTACATTTTGATTTGCTTTCATCAAAGAATTGCTGCTGAACAATGAAGCTCAACTCTGAACTTTATTAAGATGCTGTGGATTCAACAATCAGTATGAAATTTGTGAGACTCCTGGAAAGACTGACTCTAAAGCAATAAAAACAAAAAGAGATCGAAGTTACTGAATTTGCCTGAGTTCTTTGGAGATCTAAAATGCAGGAGGCGTTTGGTTATCAGGAAAATCATAACTCCCTACCAGCCCGTGTCATGATTTCATATTTTTAACATAAGCTATCATATAAATACACATAAAAACATTCTTAAGAAAATTATTTTTATGGGGTTTGTGTTCTGCAGTTTTGGTGAGGTACTAAGTTTTCTTATTGTTTTACTTCAATTGCTTCAGATAATTAACCATTACAACAATAAAACACTTGAAGGTACACTTTATATTGGGAATCAGGATGGGAATCTGGTTCAAACCTCTGAAGTCTAAACTTCTGTGACAAGTTCTAATTTACAATTTTTCTATAATTTTGAACTTGGCTGATATCTTAGATGAAGAATACACTAGTAATATTCACTACATATACATCTCGAGTAATATACTCAATATTTATCTTCACGCCTTAGACTATATTGCAAAATAAAATATTTTAAACAAAATTATGTAATAATTACATAATAATAAATAATAATTTTCAGTTCCTAAATTTTAGAAATGTTTTAGGAATGCTTTTTTTTCCCCTCACTAAGTACATTCAAACAGAAAGTACCTGACTGTTATGCTTTAAATTATTATTTTGAGAATTCAGCTGAAATAATAAATTCAGCTAAAATAATTTAAAAATGCCTACTGCCTTATCTGTGCTCCCATATTTGCTACTTCCAAAAGAATGACAACACAATGTTGCAGCAGCTTAAGTTGTCTTAAAAAATTAAGTATAGAGTCAATATACCCGCAGTCCAAATATAAAGATATATCTCACTGGTATAAAATACTGAACGGGACACTCACAACTGTAACTGTTGTATTTCGTGGGATATGAAGAATATCTGTGATTTTGTGATAGAATCTGGAAAATAAAATGCAACTGGTAGCCTATTCTTATCATTTATACACACAGAATCCATTTTCTTACATAATGATTTGAGTATTAGTATGATTTTACAAGAGCCTACATTCAGCGTAATGAGTTTTTTCCATCAGTCAGCATGTCATACCTGTGGGAACTTATTGCCATACACAGGCTCTTGCAATACTGCTCTATAAAGAAACAGAAATGTAATGATTTGAATGAGTAAGGAAAGAAGGATGGAAAGAAGGATGGAGAGAAACATGTAAGGAAGGAATTTAGATAAATTCCCCAAAGCCACTCATTACAATTTTCCTTTCAATGTTTTATACATCTCTGTGGCTCAGGCAAATTGAAAAAGAGCAGTGCGATCTGTGGAAGATCACTAGCCAATTGTTACAGAGACATCTTAATCAATTTTAGAAAGAAATTACAGATGTTTTAGATCATATGATATGATAAAATGTAAATGAACAGAAAATCAAATGCATCTGAATTTTTAAATAAAATGTGTATATCGGTAGTAAGAATAATTTCCACAAAAACGAGTTAAACTTACATCTATAGATTACAAAACCACGTATACAGGTGTGCCTCTCCTCCTAAAATACCTAAATTACTTTTTATCTTGATCTCAGATGTACTGACAGTGTTTACCATAGATACAGATAAACTAAGTGACTCCAAATGATGGGTTTGTTTTTTTTTTTTTAGTTTTGCCTATTACTTATTTAATATTCTATGTGAATGTTGATAATTATTTTCCCCCAATTTTTACTTCCTATAGCTCCTTTCACTCAAGGATCTCAAAGTATTTTTTGAACATAAATTAATCAAGGTCCAAAGCCTTCTCTAGTATTGAGAATTATACTTGCCTTGTTAGCTAAAATTAGAGAAATAGGATTAAAAAATGGCATTAATTGCACCCAGGCCTGTAGAATATAGAAAGTGGAAGTAGTCATTTCCTTTTCCTCCACTCGTATGATATTGAGGTTTAAACAGTATTTGCTCTGGTCACAGAGTAAAACTTTGACTGGGAGATATAAAAACAAAATATATATCCACCACCTCTTTGTGCTGGCTCAACTTCTGGAACAGGCCTATGTGAAAGGTTCGCGATATTTCTATACTGTGCTCCCAGAGGTATCTGTTGTCTCAGAGAAGCTCTTGGTAATCTTTGCAAACTGACACCACCTGTATTAATTCCAACCAAATACAATCACCAGGAGTGATCAAGCATTTTTTTGAATGTAGTGTTTATATCACAAATAAAGATCAGAGAGATGAAAAGACACATCCCTCCATTTACAAAACACAAAAATCTTTGGTTCTTAAAAGAAAGACTTCAGTGCTAACTGCATATCCTTGCTTTTCACACTAGAACGTGCCTTTCAGGATGTCTGATTGCATCAGTGGACTTCTACCTAGTATCAAGGGAACTTTGCTTAGATAATTATATCTGCTTTTTCCTTGGGAAATAAATACATGCTCCACCCTCAATGCCATCCTACCTTTGAGCTAAAGCAGATGGCAGTAGCTATTGATAATCTCGTTCCATACCCCTGATCACAAAGTATGCCTTAATCTTGATCAGCAGCTCAGAAAAAAATCTCAAACCTACGTACTTATACGTTGTCGTGGACTCTCACAGGTTCAGAATCCTGAGAACAGGTTAGAAAATCTTGCTGTGAACAATAAGACTGACTAACGTACATGGTTAAACCATATTACCAAGGGACTTCTGAAGCTGGTGATGACAGAGTTTGGAAGTTTCCCATATTTCTTAGCCTTCCCACATTTTAGATGTGGATTGAAGACTGACATGTTCTGAAAACTTTCTTCATGACAATGGTAAAAAAAAAATAACAGATTTAAGATAAAGCAGAGCAGTAGTATAGAGCTATTATTCTAACTGCTTATTTCTGCATGTTACTATTTTTGCTCCATTTTGTGGAGTGTATTTTCATATTTTCACAAGTGTCAATCTTCATCTAGGAACTTCTATATTTGCTGGCAGGCAACCTTAATTCTCTTTTAATGACTTTTTCTCTTAGTGAATCAATACTTAATTTTAAAAGGTCTTCCTTACTTCCTAATCTTCTCCTTTATTTTTCCTACTCAAAGGCACATTTAAAAAGGAATTCAATAGCTCAGCTATTTCAGAGGCATTATTACATTTCAAATAGAACTATATGAAATATAGAATATATTATATTACATCTAGAATCACAGCTGTTGATTTTTCATTTTAGACTGTACTTTCCACCTATTTTTGTATTCCTATTATCTTTATTCCTCTGGTTAATATTAAGCAACTCTGGCTATTTGCTGTTCTTGGTTCACCCTGCAGTTTTCACCCAACCAGTATCTTTCTGTGTCTTCCCTCCTTCCTTTCCACAAAATCTAGCCGTCAAAGTCTATATCGATAGCTGGTTATGAAAAGATTGGCATGGTCCATATTACTGTTGGTACTCAATGTAATCATATCAGAATGAAACCCACTTTGATATACTTGTTATGCATATTTTTGGTCTGGCTTTTCAGAACTGTGTTCCATTTGTTTTGCTTTGTGTGGTATTTTTAAGGTTCCTTTCTCTCCAATCTACTATTAAAACCTGTATTGTTTAAATTTTTTTTCTTCTTTTTTTCCACAAAGCATTTGTTCTTTCACAATGCTTCAGCTCTGCACTTAAAATGAAAAGCTGAGTAGAACTATGTCATAATCAATTGGGATTTAATAAATAACTTGGTCTGCTGCAAACTAATACACTAAGAACTAATACACTGTGAATTGTAAGGCTTCTTTTGATTTATGCCAGTTCTCTCTCTCTCTCTCCCTCCCCTGTAAAATGTTTTATATGCAAGAAAGAACAAATGTGAAGAAAAATGAATTATAAAATAAGAAGCTTTGTACATTTTAAAAAAATTTAAACAGATTTCCAGAAGAGTGTTTTAATTCTGTCAACTGTTGTAGAAGTAAACATTCTGCTGCATTAAGAGAACTACGAAATGCAATCAGAAATACAAGGCTGCAACTGAGTGAAAACCAATGCACCAGTATATTTATCCCATTTTCTAATGTACATGACTGTTCAGACAACAAAAGTGAGGCTATACTAGAAATTAGTAATTTCTTCGGTATCTTCCTCATTGAAATCACCTTCCATTTGGAAACAAAATGTTCAAGTCTGTGAGAGGGTGTGAGGCCACCTAAAAATAATATTGTCAATCACCAAAAGAGATATTTCTGTTTTTCAGCAGCAGTGGGATCCAAAACTACGAACTGTTACATTTACATTTAGTTCCCACCTATACTATCATATCAAGCAATCCTGAGAAAAATGTCTTGTTGCCTTTCAGATTTTCGGGTTGGTAAACTGAGCAAAATGGATGTCACATTCTTTTGACAGTTTGAAGAAATATGAAAATTGGAAGCCACACTTGAAGAAATCCCACACTGTACCATGTATCCTATATAGCTCAAAAATTCAGCAGCAATGTGTTTAGGTGAGATTAAAGCAGCATACTACACTTGAGTAAGCCTTTGGCAAATGGGTGATTCCCATGTGTTGTAAACAATGTGTTACTGATAACATCACTAAGTACATAAGTACATAGGGAGAGAATTTTAACCCATGCTAATTTATTTTAAATATATTTTTAAACTACACAAATGAATTTTCAGATAAGGATCAGCCTCTTTCTACCCCTATCAGAAAAACAAAACCTACTTCATCCATAAATTCAAACCGTTTTCCTTCTTTATATAAAACTTATTAAAAAAAAAATCTGTTCCCGTGGAAATAGTTCTAGAAGATTGCTGATAATGAATACAAGGAACATTTTCTAGCACTACCTATTGAATTTTTAATATTCATACCAATTTCAACTCATCCATCTCTTTGTATCTCAACAGAGACAGTACAACAGAAGTACAAGTAGATTAGAGAGAGTTGTCTGGTGAAATAAAGATGATACCTGTACCTTAGGACCAGATTGCTTTATCAAATAACTAACAAATGTTGAAGATTACTGGGCTATCAGTGACATAGTTTACATCTACTAAAAAAAAATAATAACAAATGTTGAAGATTACTGGGCTATCAGTGACATAGTTTATACACATTAACTCTTGCATACTCAGACAGAAGTAGCCTCTTTGTATACATTCAAGGTAAAAACTTCTTCAGTATTGGCAAGAAACTTAAAAAATAGTATTTAAAAGGAAACTGGTGACCAATGAGGTGAAGTAGGTAATGATGGATCCAGGGCTATAAATCCTTACTAACTAATATAACCACTTCTTACATCATGAGCAGTCTCTACCCATTTCATTTAAATTGAAATAACTGGATTTTAAAAGAGCAGATGAAGTCTACTCAGATTACAGACTATACATAGCCAGATTTTAAACTTACTATGTAATTAAGCCCTACTATCACCATGGCACTTACGTATACCCAATGTTGCCTGGATTTGGGAAATCTGTATCTCTCCATAAAGTATTTGCATACTTCAGGTATTAATAATACTCAGCTTGCCTTGATTTTTAAAAATGAGCTTTTGGGGATTTGCAGAAGAATGTTTCTGCTTTTGGATTTGCAAAGAATGTTTCTGCTTTATTTTTATTTCTTCTTTGAACTCCAATTTTGGAGACACCCCTCCACACACGCACACACATTTTTCACATCTTTTTGCATTCATTCAGCATTTGATTGAAGAGTTAATTCAGCTCCACTTAACAATGATAGATGTAATGAACAGAAAGGTCTTCCAATGTGAGAGATATTCTTCTCAATTCTTTCTGACAGGCACGGGACGGTAAATAGACAAAACGGAGTCAAGCTAGGCAGCAAACTTGTAAAAAGAATGACTCTGGTAATGTACAAGGACAGCATGCACATCAATGAATACTTACATAAATGTCTGCACCATAAAATCCATCCTGGTATACAACACTGCAAGGATGCACACACAAAGAAAAACATCCATATTAGTGCATTTCCACATGCAAATGCCACCAACCCCTGCACAGCTGAGGTTAGTCTTGTCACAAGAACGGGGGTGGGGGGGAAGGAAGGCAGCTCTTCACATTGGTTAAGGAGGTTGGTAGTAATTATCAGAAGTGAAACTGCACTGAATACAACATCTTATAAAGTATGCCAAATGCTTAGTCAAAGAAAGGCAAAGCATGGCAGGATTGGAAAATACTTTTGATAAGGTTTTGGTTGTGGGGTTTTTTTTCTCCTTTTTTTTAAGCAACCACATATTGGCAGCATTTTTTCTATAAAAATTTTCAGTGGGCCAATCCTACAATCAGTTTTAATACATTAACAAAATGCTACCTCTTAAACTACTACTTTATTGTCCTGTAATTATGTCAACCCTCTGAAACAAAGTGGTAGTTGTCATTACTTAGATGGAAAACAAAACAAAGCATAAGTTTATATGGTGAGAGGAATGTGTGAAATAATTATAGTGGTGGTATTCTACCCATTGGGTCAAATCTCAATACCTCAATGTACACACAGATGAGAGTATTCAAAGGTACTGAATCGTTGGCTTGATACCCATTTCCAATAGTGACAACAGGTCTGTTAAGAATGTCATGGTGTTATTCTTATAAAAAAAGTATTAACCTTCCTGACTTTATCATTTTATAACTTTGGCAAACATGCCCGTGGTTCTGAGCTGCCCTGCATTTTTGGTTGGATCATTACTACTACAACACTGCAAGGATGCACACACAAAGAAAAACATCCATATTAGTGCATTTCCACATGCAAATGCCACCAACCCCTGCACAGCTGAGGTTAGTCTTGTCACAAGAACGGGGGTGGGGGGGAAGGAAGGCAGCTCTTCACATTGGTTAAGGAGGTTGGTAGTAATTATCAGAAGTGAAACTGCACTGAATACAACATCTTATAAAGTATGCCAAATGCTTAGTCAAAGAAAGGCAAAGCATGGCAGGATTGGAAAATACTTTTGATAAGGTTTTGGTTGTGGGGTTTTTTTTCTCCTTTTTTTTAAGCAACCACATATTGGCAGCATTTTTTCTATAAAAATTTTCAGTGGGCCAATCCTACAATCAGTTTTAATACATTAACAAAATGCTACCTCTTAAACTACTACTTTATTGTCCTGTAATTATGTCAACCCTCTGAAACAAAGTGGTAGTTGTCATTACTTAGATGGAAAACAAAACAAAGCATAAGTTTATATGGTGAGAGGAATGTGTGAAATAATTATAGTGGTGGTATTCTACCCATTGGGTCAAATCTCAATACCTCAATGTACACACAGATGAGAGTATTCAAAGGTACTGAATCGTTGGCTTGATACCCATTTCCAATAGTGACAACAGGTCTGTTAAGAATGTCATGGTGTTATTCTTATAAAAAAAGTATTAACCTTCCTGACTTTATCATTTTATAACTTTGGCAAACATGCCCGTGGTTCTGAGCTGCCCTGCATTTTTGGTTGGATACATTACTACTTATCTGAAAAAATGTAGTATTGTTATATTGCTGTTAACAGTTTACCCAGAGACTACTGCATTTCAGCTAAGACAAATCGTCACTGTAAATAGTTCAAATTTTAGATTCTAAACCTTTCAGGATAAATGACATAGTATGACAAAGATGGTTTAAATGATTACACTAAATAAAACTGGAACTATGCAACAGTGGCCTACCAATTACACACATTACTTAAGTCCTGCAATTTTACATTCATTTGGCAGTTCTGCAACTTAAAATGTGTATTTCCAGTATCAGAATCAACCCAAGCTGTTTTGAGAGCTAAATATGAGAGCACACAATAGGTTTTTTGCAACAATATTTTCAATTTGGGAATATTATTATCCGGGAATAATAGTTATTATCATGTTTCCAGCCTAAGCTGCTTTGCAATTCCAACAAGAATTTTCATGTCAGAAATATAACTGATCTATTGAGGTCGATGACCAAAACCCACAGGGCTGAGCTGGTACGTGTCTAAGTCAGAATCACTTGAGAAAATCATAAATACGCATACATGCACATAAACCACATTGATAAAACCACACTGATGATAAAAGTTTGCTATGGAATAATAATGCGTGAAAACTCGGCTCCACTTAAATCACAGTGTCTGCCATTTGCTTCAGTAAGGTCAGACCTTTACTCATGTATTTTTCCATTTATTATGTCTGCAGAGCAAAATACGCCAAACCTTGTCTACACTGGTAGCGTTCAGAGAGCTTGCTATTTACATTGTAGCGTACCTTCATTTTGATTTTGATATTCTGATTATTTTAAAATGTTACACGTTTTTCTTATACCTGTTTGCATGTAAGAAATAAAACATTCCACGTGACTGTAAGGTAGAAGTGCACAACCGTGAACAACATGGAAGGAGTTTTATGAGATCGTATACAAATGATACAAAGTTTCCCGACGATGGAGGCCCCAGAACCACAACCCCCAGTTCCTCGTATCCCTGCACCAGGCATGCTGGGAGGAGGTGGAGGAGCTGGGAATGAAGGAGTGAAGTTGAGCCTGGGAAGAAGGGGCGGGGAGGGGGGGGGAAGGCGTTTTAGGTTCTGTCTTTGTTTCTAACTCTACAACTGCATTTTAATAGGCAGTAAATTAAATTAATTTTCAAGACAAGCCTGTTTTGGCCATGGTGGCAATTGGCGTTTTGGCCATGGTTGGCAAGCAATCTCCCTGTCTTTATCTCAACCCAAGAGCTTTTCTGTCTTACTTTCTCCCCCTATACTCTTGAGGAGAATGAGAACGCAGCTGGGTGAGGCTCTGGCAGCCAGCCAAGGTCAACCCACCACAGTACATTAAAACATACTACTTTTAATTATTATTAAACATTGCTATTCAGAAAATAACGCTTTTAGAGAGAATATGTGCAGAAAGGGGACCTTTTTTCTTCCTCCTCTTGGTGATCTGTGGGTATACAGTGAAGATGTCACAAGATGAATAGGGGCTGATACATTTTGACTTCCCAAGTGCAGCTGGTTGTAATCTTGGATAGGTTATTTCATTCACCTAGGCCTTCCTTTTACACAGAATGCTCAGTCATGTACAGACAGAAACTTATTTTGAATTCTACATATGCAACTGCTTGATAAATATTATACCGAAGGAAGTACCCAACACTAAAATGAGACATGAATGCGTGACTCTGTCATTAAACACGGTTAGTATTAAGATGAAGTGACAGAGTCAGGCAAATGAGTATAACATTCCCAAGCAGGACATGCTATCAGTTGATTTTATCTTATTTCCTCCATATGGTCTTGTAGGATGATAGTGATGTTAAATATAAAACTTTCTGCTTCTTTTGAAGTTTGAAGGAAAATAATTCTCCACATTTTCATAGATTTCATAGATTTTCAGAGGGTATTTTCTCTATTCACTGTCCTTATCAATTGTTGACCCCTGTGACTGAATCTTACCAGCGGAGTCAAATGTATTTTCTAACAGCACCCTTCATCAGAAGGACAAAGTGTAAAACACCAAGAGCTCTTGCGCTTTTTTTTCCTTCAGTATATAATTTTCCAAAGGGTAATTTGCTTGGCTTATTATCCCCTTTTCTTTCTCTTGAAGTTGTAGGCAGAAAACAGATGATAAGTCTCAAGCATGGGAAGAGACCGAATGCATCACACAGGGACCCATCTCACCACAGCTCCTTTTACACTTTATATTCAAAAAATTGTCTGGGCAGACAGATAAATCTTAGTTCCTTGTAAACCAACACAGGGTCTGGAAATAGCCGCATTATTGAAATCTGAATTACTTCACCCAGAAATAGATGATATGTTAATGCACTACCTGGAGGAATTAAAATAAAAACAACAAATTTGGGGGATTTATTCAGTTGTACTTTATGATTTTATAGTGCTAAGGAAAAGTCAGAGAAGAGAGAAATCTTGATTTAATAAGAAAATGTGCGTCTAAATAACATCGTATGTGGCAACCATTTCCTGAAATTATTTTTCTATAAATATGAAACTGTTTTCTCACCAACTATTATACATCTGCTTTGCATGGTTTTAACTGCTTTATTTTAGTCTCTGTGTCTTATAATCATTTTCTGTAACTATATTAAGACAAACTCTTTACCAGTTTAGATTCCACCTTTATAATATCCTGGAATACTACAGGACTACATCTGTCTTCATTACCATTTTTCTATCCTTATCTTTCAAAAGGATTGGGTTGAATAATCTATCAATGACATAAGAAGATAGTTCTTGACTGCACAAACCTTAGTTCAATAACTTCATAGCAGCTGAGTATATGTGGCCCCCAGCCATACACACAACCTGCACAAGTTAGCATAAATAACCTAAGGCAGATTAAGTGCATGGAGCGATTGATTCAGTGTAACAAACGGGCATTACAATCATGATTTCATTCATTGCAATAGGAATCGTGTATAGTTTGCTCTTTCCCCTCCATCACAACTAAGAGAAAGCACTTGAGGAACAAAAGTTCTCTGTTCTCTGATTGCTGGTAGGGTCGCCCTCACTGTCCCACACATATCTTCCAGTTTTTGGTCTTGGAAATCACGGTATACCTTTTATATGAAATCTTTTATATGAAGCCTTCATGAAGCAAATAACAGAAGAGATGTAATTACAACCTTATTTAAAATAAACCAAAGAAAAGACTGAGAATTAAACACCTTTCAACACTCTAATACAACTTTCACCGTTGTAAATATAGAACTGAAACTCTTGTATGAGGCTGTTTCAACTTTTTAGAACGTTCTCTAATTCCAGGTTCTTGTCTTTCCAGTTTCAACATTTTCTGCCATGAACAAGTTATATTATCTGCTTTGGAAAATTAATTGAGGGCATTGCTGCAGAGAACAAAGCTGGAAGACATGTACTGGCAAAACACATTTTTTGTTCCAACAATTGCACATATATACAAAGCACAGAGTCCAAAGTAAGAGGAAG